CTTTGACGCAAACTGCGGTTGACTATTTGGGAGTCCAGCGACATAGCCATTATGCTAACGACTGGTCCCCTCCCCCCTTTTTTTAGAGTTATTTTCCTACATGGCATGTGTGCTTGCCGGAGAGATAGAAAGTGAGAAATCACCCCCAAGGGGGGATGGCCATGCTACAATCCCTTGTCCTCCATTCTTCTCTCAGGATGTTGAGTATGCATGTATATGTGTCTGGTGTGAGTTTCAAGGATGCATATGTGTCTGGTGTGAGTTTTAAGGTACTGCAGTAAGCCACGTGGGAGTCTAGTAATGTAACCATTACTCCATATGCTGGTCCCAATGAAGCCCAATTTACCAGTTACTCATTTTGTCAATTTTGCTGTTAGTGTCATATCTAAAAACTTTTTTTATTTATTTATTTTATTTTTTTTAAGCTTTGCCACAGGGCTTGTATGCTTGCTAGAGAAAGACTGAAACGGTGAGAGGGAAAGTGAGAAATCACCACGAGAAGGGACCAGCAGTTGGCATAATGGCTATGTCACTGGACTCCCATGTAGTCAGCCGCGGTTCGAGTCCCAAACCCAGTGGCTTAAACTCATGCCAGGTGCATGTGCATGTATGCCCAAGATCCCAAGAGGAAGATGGAGTAGAAGGGATTGTGGCATGGCCATCCTCCCTGGGAGATGACTTCTCACTTTCTGTCTCTCTGTGTCTTTCTGGCAAGCATACACACCCTATAACAAAAACCTCTCAAAAAAAAAAAAAAGAACTCACCCCTGAGAGGGGATAGTCACACTCCAATTCTTCTCCTTTTTCCCCCTCTTGGGATTTTGGGCATGCACACAGTGTAATTTTCAATCCATTAAGTTCAGGACTAGAACCACGGTTGGCTATGTGTGAATCCAGCATTTAACCACCATGCCACTTGTTTGGCCCCATACCAAAAACTTTTTGTCCAACTCAAGGTCATGAAAATTTTTTTTTCCAATACTTTTTTTTTTTTTTTTTTTGAGAGGTTTTCGCTATAGGGCACGTGCGCTTGCCAGACAGACAGAGAGAGAGAGAGACATAGAGACAGAAAGCAAGAAATCACCCTCCAGGGGCGATGGCCACACCGCAATCCCTTCACCTCCATTCTCCTCTCCGGATCTTGGGTACACACGCACATGCGCCCGGCGTGAGTTTTAAGCCACTGGGTCCGGGATGCAAAGTGGGAGTCCAGCGACACAGCCATTACGCTAACTGTTGGTTCCCTCCAATGCTTTCTTCAAAAAAATTTTATAATTTTATGTTTTACATTTAGATCTAAGATTAATTTTGTGTTAAGCTTTGTATAAGTTGTGAAATCATAGGTGTAAGTTCAGTTTTCCCCAACAGGCTTTCCAATCTTTCCAACGTCATTGTTGAAAATGAAATCCTTTTTCCACTGAATTTGTTATATCCTGAAACCTTGCTCAACTGACTTGTTGTCCTAAGAGGTTTTCTTTTTTTTTTTTTCTTTTCGTAGATTTTCTGAGATCTCCTACATAAACATTCATGTTGCTAAAATCACAAGTTTTAGTTTTTCCTTTGCAAACTACATTAATTGTATTTCATTTTTCCTGCTTCATTATACTGGCTAAGGATTTCAACTTAACATTTACCAGGAATGGTTAGAATGAATATCCCTGCCTTATTTCTGTTCTTTAGGAAGACAGTATTAATATCTCATCACTACGTGTAATATAAATTATATGTCTTTTGCCTATGTCCTTCATCAGAATTTCCTTTCTATTCCTAGTTTATTGAGAGATTTTTGTTTTACATTTTCTTCCCTATCACTACCTATAGGAATTTTAGCTAATTTGCATTTTAACTATTGCTTCAAAAAAAAAAAAAAGAATGAAAATGTATGTTGTACCTTTCTGTCATAATCAAGGGATGGAGATGTGTGTGTATGTGTAAGTGCATGTATGTACATGCGAGTGCATGAGTGAGAAAGCTTTCTCTATATACCACAAAGGAAAGGCATTGTGCGTTTCATTAGAGCACGTAAAGTAAAACATCTGCAGATTAATGCAATATTGTTATGAAGACGTTCTAAATAAAGCTGAGATTAAAGCCAATTTGCTAAATTGAAAGAAAATTCCTTTAACTACTGAAACACTGACTTTAAAATAATGAGAAAATGGAATAGAACTAATATACACTATGCTTTCACCTAAGCACAGCATGTGACATTTATTTCTGTGATATTTCTGCCAACTATTTTTCAGTTCTTGAATTCTGACAATCGGCCAGAAACAGTTTTATGTAGTTTGCATTTTTTATCTCACAAAACTTCACAGCAGTCCTGTACTACAGGCCTTACCCCAAAGGCCCTTGGATCAAAATTCACAAATTCTCAGAAAATAAGTTTAAGTTTAATGTAAGAAACTACTTTAAAAAAAAAAAAGGGTAGGGGCTGCCCAGTAGTTAAAAATGGTATGTCTTAAGCCTGACTTCATGGCACCTGAGGATGTTAGAAGTTTTGGAGATGGGATTCTTATACTATACCTAGTAGGTATACTAGGCCAGATGGTCCTACATTTCCTCTGAGTCCAAAATACTTACAGTCACCACAGATAAGATACAGCAGTGGGACTTTAAAAAGTTCATTAAAATGAAATTGAAATATAAGTTTATTTTGGTGCAAAACAAAAAATGAAATCAGTGCACTGGTCTTTCATAACGTAAAGTTTTCCTGAAGTTTTTGAAGACTTCTTGTATATGGCTTACAAAGATTGACATGAGAAGCAATGCCAAGGCAGAGGCTGTCTTAAAAACTAGCCAGTGGGTCATTTCTTGAGACAGGCTATCTACTCTCCTTCTGCTGTCCTGCAACACCCCTCCAACCCCTACAGCTCACTCTGCTCCCCATTTCTTTCTCAGCAGCAAAAGTCATATGACATCATTTTTTTAAATAATTATTTTATTTTTATTTATTCATTCTTTTTTTTTTTTTTAATTTGACCAGAGAGAGACAGAGGTTGAGAGGGAGGAAGTGAGAAAGCAAGCCACCAGATTCAGGACTTGAACCCTGGTTGGCCATGTGGGAGTGTCCAGAGCCTTAATCGCCATGCCATCTGCTGGTCCTATATATGACATCATTTTAAATCAAGTCTCAACCACACTCATGATCAGTGATTCAAGTATGTGCCTTTATCTTTTTAAATTCCAAATAGTACTTCTGTTATAAAACAAACAAACAAAAAGAATGTGAGCCACTCCTGTCTATCTCAGATACTTAATACTTTTTTTTTTTTCCCCAGGTTTTTGTCATAGGGCAAGTGAACTCGCAAGAGAATAACAGAGAGGGAAAATGAGAGATCGCCCCCCTCCCGGGGGAGAATGGCGACACCACAGTCCCTTCTTATCTAGTCTCCATTTGGGATTTTGGGCGTGCATACATACATGCCAGACATGTCACTATGTCCAGAACTTGAACTGTGGTCGGCCAGCCCCTTAACTACCATGCCACCTGCTGGCTCTCTTTATTGCTTTTTTAGATGCAAAAGGGTGAGCGCACATGAGAGAGAGGGAGAGAGAGAGAGAGACAGTGTGCACCTCCAATGGGGCCTGGTCATGCTGCAATCATTTTTCTTCCAGTTCTCCAATTCATCAGGACCCTGGACATGTACATGACCAGCCTTCAAGGCAGGGACTCAAACCCTGATTAGTAACGTGGGACCTAGCCTCTTCACAGTTCCTAACTACTGTGCTACAGGACCAGCCTGACTTACTAGTTTTCAAGACCAAATAACATTAGAAAGAAAGCAAGCAAGACAGAAAGAGTAAAGTACCCAGCCAATTACCAGACATATAATAACAAAGGTGTTCACCTTCCTACTCTTAAAGATAAAAACAAAGCCAATGAAACACTTCCTAACATGCGTGTTTCTGGCACGCATCTGTGGTTGGCCTCAAATAGCAGATTTCTCATGGAGAAAGCACATGCAGTTTTACTGAATATATCCTGAATGATACCCACCACCAGGTCGAAAGAGAATCTCCTTGCATTTACACATTTTATAGTTTCTATGCCACTCCTCTTCTATTTAGTCAGCCCTCTCAAGATCACAGAGGAAGTTAGAGCCTAGAGAGGTTGGCAGATTTCTGGTGTCAGGAAGGTGGCAGAGGCTAGGGTCCTACCTGGCCCTACCTATCTTCAGGTGCTTGTTTTCCTGCATGCCTAAGTCCCCATTATTAGGTTATGTGGGTCTATTTTCAACCTGGAACACACCAGCTATAATTTCATACAATTTTATTTAAGCTGATTTTATTATTCCTGAGTAGAGGAGACTTTAAGTATAATCAACTCTGGAAAGAGAGTAAAATGTCTCAATTGGTACAAAATTATGTTTTATCAGGCAGATCCTATGTAAGGTAAACACAACCACACAGAGTACAAAGGGGGGCATATCTATGTTTGAAATCTTGGGATCCTACTGCTAGAAAAGAGCCCCTTGTTTTCAGGGGTAATATAGACCTTGCTCACCACTGCATCCCCAGGGTCTAGAATGATGCCTGGCACATGGTAAGCGATCCCCAAATAGCTGTTAAACGAATGAATAAACAGTTTGCAAAAAAATTGTCCAGTTGATTTTTCTGGTAAGTTTGACCATATGAAACGTTCATTTTTTCAAGCAGGCAGCTTCTGCACTTCGCCACGTGAATGCAAAAAACCGTGATGAACTGTGGACATCCCTATTCGAATTACACTGAAGATGCAAAAGAAATTACGAACAGGAGTCTCAAAATTCATCACATTAACTCACATCCCCAGAAAATTCATTCCTGAGGGTTTATTTCAATGAAATGTCTCTCTTGGGACTGGAGGTCTCTCCCCAAGTCTGGGAAATAAGGATGGATATGGCAATAATGGAGCTCAAGGCTTTTCATCTTCCCATGCCATTAAAATGCAAATTGGGGGAGGAGGGAGACCTGCAGGCAGATATCCCTAGGCCTCTCCTGGCCATGGCAGCACTCACATCCATCGGCTGTCCGCACCTCCATGTGCACCAGGTCCGCCTCCTTATCCAATCCAGCCACCGACCTGGGGAAGGAAGGGAGAGACAGAGGCTCAGTGAGGGCATGGACAGCAGACAGCAAAGTAGGAAGTACTCAGGGCTGACTGATACCGGAAATCCGTTTCCTCAGACAGGACTGCCCTTCAATGTGGGAACCAACAGAATATGTCCACAGTAGAAACTGTCACCTGTCATAGTCATTACACAGGAATACAAGCGAGGTACAGTGAGTCGAAGGTGTGCCGCCCCTTCCCCAAACACACACTCATTCACACATACAGAACACAGTCCCTCATAAAGCAGGTCTAAATCTCTGCCCTTGGCAATCTCTCTCATCTTGCAGCTTCCGAGAGGTTCTCTTCTTCACAAGTCCTTCCTCTACATCTTCTGTCGGGTCGTGACTCTTGATTACTCCCACCACTTCCTCCCCTCTGCTCTGCCCTCTCACTTGGAGAAGCTTTTCTTTGCCTCTTTGTGCACTCTGAGGAGATAGTTTCTCTTCACTTCTGACTGCTTCAAGGCACTCCTGTCCTCTTAAGTTTGAGCCTATCCTTGCCTCCTGCCTAGCAAACAACATATTTGTTTGTTTGGCAACACACTTTCAAAATCTGGTCTCACAGGACAAAATTCTCCTAATGACCTGGGCGGGAAATGTTAAAGTCAATAGCTACCAGAGGGAAGGCTGAGAATCCCTAGGAATGAGCTGTCTACACATAAAGCCCAGCAAGTATCTTGTGAATGAGGTTTCCAGGCCGAAGTAAGACTCAGAAAGTCACCTGAAAGATCCAACACACACACTAAAATATTCATGTGCCAACAAGTACATAATCCACTCTTTTTCGGGCAAGCTTCCACTCATATCGCTCTTCTTTAAAATAAGATTTGTTTTCCAGTTTTCCACTCTTCAATGAGTAAGCAGCAGCAAGTTAGAAAAACAGAACTTAAACTGGTAAGGGTCAATGACTGATACCTGAAAAACAAGAGAAATAGAAATTCTGTGAAAAACAGACCTAAGAACTCAAAAGCTAGGGACCAGCATATGGTGTAATGGTTACATTATTGGATTCCCACATAGCCCACTGCAGTTCAAGTCCCAGACCCGGCGGCTTCAAACTCACGGTGGGTGTGTGTTGCGAACATGCCCAAAATCCCAAGAGGAGAGTGGAGGAGAAGGGTCATCCCCCTTGGGGGGTGATTTCTCGCTTACTGTCTCTGTGTCTCTCCAGTGAACGCAGGTGCCCTATAGCAAAAATTTCTCTTAAAAAAAAAAAAAAAAAAGAACTCAAAAGCTAATCTTCCCCACCATAAATCTCTACATTTCTCAATAGCCCTGGGGGCATTTTATTATAGCACAGTTCAGTGTCTGACATCTGTGCTATGGGGCTAAAGACATTTAAAAAAATGAAGCAGGGCTAATGGTATCCACTCTACTCTGTTAAGAAACTAGAACGGCAAATATTTTTTAAAACCTGAAGTCATTTTTGTTTGTTAAAATAATGGTTATTTCTAGAAAGGTCAAACGTCAATGATTTAAAAAGTCAATCTATATAAAACACTTTATTTCCCCAAAGAAGCTAAATAAATAAGGTTTTACCCTAATAGGCTGTCCTTCTCCCTGTGATCACTGATAGACTGTCATTTCATTTTTCTTCACCTCACTTGATTCTAACAGCTAACTCCTATGGTAAGGAGAGTAGGTATCTCTAGTCATATTTGACTGAAGGAGGGAACTAAGGCATGGGAAAACGGGTATTTGTCTAAGATCACATAGGGGAACTTAAAGTAGAGAGATGTCTGATTTTCAAGTCTGGGGTGGCTCCAATGTCCTTCTCCAGCCATCTCTATGTTCCATTTCTTCTCCAGCTAGCTTACCCCTCATCATGGGCGCCATCGGTCCCTTCTTCCTTGGCTCACTGAAAAGCCTGTCTCTCCTCATAGCATCTTTATCTCAGTGGTTCTCGAATTTGACTGCTCATGAGAGTCATATCACTGGGGAGCTTGGAAATGCACAGATGTCTGAGTCTCCATTCTCCAAACCAATAAGTCAAAATTTTGGAAGGGCAAAGACATCTGTATTTTCCTAAAGTTTCTTGGTGCTTCTCATATACAGCCAAGTTTGAGAACCATTGCTTTGCATCTTTCAGTCACATCACTTACCTAATTGCTAATTCATTTCTCTGTCTTCTCTACTTGGATATAAACTTAAAAGTATGAGAATCCTAGGCTACCCTCGTGGCCTAGTACTTCAAGGAGCCAGATCCCACGTGGGAACCGTGACTTGAATCCCAGCTCCATCAGTTTGAAAACATGTTGAGCATGTGTGTGTGCATGACACAAATCCCAGTAGGATGGAGAACTGGAAAAGAAAGAATTGTGGCATGATCACACCCCACTGGGAGGTGCTTTTCTCCCTCTCCTCTTTCTATTTCTCCATCTACCTCGCTGGTGAGTGCATGCACCCCTCTGACAATTAAAAAAAAAAATCAGAATCCTGTCTTATTTGTTTTTGAATTCTGCCACCTATGTGCCTGGTGCATATTAGATGCTAATTATGTGTTTATTAACTTAACAAACAGCCCAATCTATGTGTTATGATGCCAAAATTTGAATGTGACACTCACTTGAGGCCATACACACACGGCAATGAGGATACCAGATAAAATTATATTAATACCTTCTCTTCTCTGCAGCATCCCCATTTCTTTTTGTTTGTTTGTTTTCTTTTTCTTTTTCTTTTTCTTTTTTGGAGAGGTTTTCGCTATAGGGCGCGTGCACTCGCCAGCCAGACAGAGAGAGACATAGAGACAGAAAGCGAGAAATCACCTCCCAGGGGGGATGGTCACGCTGCAATCCCTTCTCCTCCATTCTCCTCTTGGGGTCTTGGGCACACACGCACACGTGCCCAGCGTGAGTTCTAAGCCACCGGGTCCGGGACACGAACCGCGGTTGACTACGTGGGAGTCCAGCAACATAGCCATTACTCTAACTACTGGTTCCCTCCATTTCTTTAATAAGTTGGTACTGTAAGGATTAGAGGTTTCTCAAAGGTTATTCTTCCATACCCTCACCACAGTCATTGGCAGGCTAGTGTGGACAGAACTGGAGCCATAATGGTCAAGCCTGATTGGGGTCAACAGATGTTGTACTCTATAAGCAAAGAAAGATAAGTCCTTGCCTCGTAGGAGCTTAAAACAAGACACTATTTGGTAATGTAAACACAGAAACTCTTTCCTCATGCAGGCATGCTTCTTCCCTTCCATGTATTTAAAATCATACATATCTTTTAAAGTAGAACACAAGAATCTAGTCCTCCTGGGAGCCTACTCTGGTCACTCCAGCTCACATCAATCTCTCTCCTTTATCTTTCTAGAGAACTCAGAGTCTGGATCCTACATCCTCCTACACTCATTATTAAATGGTTTCTTCAGAGGTGTTCTTTGATCACCAGAGAGGATACTTGTGATTTTGATCAACTTAATGCCATTTCCTTGTCCCTCCTTTATGGAACTGTCCAACTTGTTCAAGCCGTGCGATGTAACTAGGCTGAGTGATTGCAGTAGCCTATCTCTCTGAATGCACAGGATGGCATAAGATCCAGTATGATCAAGAGAAATCTTGGCTATGGTGATCAGAAGATGCCAGAGCAACTTTGAAGACTTGGGATTTCTGTAGCTGCCACTGATTAGAAAAACTTGTCTTTCCTCTCTGTTCACCAGAAGAAATGTTCCTGGCACTGTTGACACCTTGAGTAGGATAATTCTTTCTTGTGGGGGTTGTCTTATGCTTTGCAGAGTATGTACCAGCATCTTTGGATTCTGCGAGATGCAATAGTACCCCTGCAGCCATAACACCTAAAAATGTCCCTTGACATTGCTAAATAACTGTGAGGAGGAAAAAGCACTTTTAGTTGAGGAATACTGCCATAGCTGAAAACTGAACCCCACGTTTCTTGAAAAAAGGCAGCAAAGTAAGCACCAGAGACTGCACTTCCTCACCTCGTACAAACACCCTGCGAAGTCCACGAACTACTGGCATTTCAGGCCACAAGTTGTGTTCACATAATATGTACTGACGCAGACCAACACAAAACATAAACTAGTCATCAGTGTTGCCTTTATTTGGTTTTGCTCTATTCCTGGTTTTAATTGACTATAAAACAAAATTTTATAAAACGAGATAGTGTTAAGATACCAAGATCAGGTATGAATTTATGAAAATTCTTATGAATAATTAAAAATCCCTCAATCACAAATTCTACCACAGGAATTTTCTAATACCCATAATTGGGATAAAACTGATCCTTCCAGTAGACCCTTTTTTTTTTTTTTTGCTTGTTTTTTTTTAGGAGAGATTTTTTGCTATAGGGTGCCTGCACTCGCCAGAGAGACAGAGAGAGAGAAAGAGATAGAAAGTGAGAAATCACTCCCCAGGGGGGATGGCCACACCACAATGCCTTTTCCATTCTCCTCTCAGGATTTTGGGCACATACACACAAACACATACTTGGCCTGTGTTTGAAGTCTTTGGGTCCAGGACTTGAACCATGGTCAACTACGTGGGAGTCCAGCCACATAACCATTATGCCATCTGCTAATAATCCCTTTGGTGTTTTTCAACATAAGAATGAGTGAAGTCAGAGAGCAGTGCAGCAGTAAAACGTGATGCTGTGAGATGGACCCCCATGGAAGCTCTGGTTTGTTTCTAGAGACCTCCCTGAGTGCACCAAGCACAGTGTACTTACAACTCGAGCTGACTGAGACTGGGGGTGAATGCAACACTGAGACCCTGTTGGAGGTATTTGTGTCTCTCTCATAAATGAATGCACAATGGAGTAGGATCAGGCCTTTTGTGTACACTCTCCACATTTTGCACATTTGTGCCAACAACGATTTTTAGATGTTACATTTATAAACTGGGAAGATCATAATACCTGCCTTATAGCATAAAGAGGATTAAATAAGCTAGGCAGTAAACACTTAGAACAGTACTGGACATAGAAAGCATCTTTCTTCTTCTTCCTCTTTTA